GAGCAGGGAGCCCGATGTGGGACTCGATCCTGGGACTCCAGGATCATGACCTGAGCCGAAGGCAGTCGCTTAACCAACTGAACCACCCAGGCGCCCGATGTTTATGTTTTCTAAAGTGCAGGGCAGGAATGCTCAGTAAGCACTGGAAGATTAAGTGCCATCCTGTGTGAAATGGTTAGTATAAACCTGGCAAGTGAAACACCTGTTACGTATCCCCATTCTCAAGGCAGCAATGAACCTCCAGGATAGACTGCATATAAAATCTTTAGCTCCTAATTATGCTGCTTTTCTTTAACTGGTCAACATTGTGGACAACACAGCTTAAGACCTTTCTGGTCCAAGACTTGTTTGAGAGCACCCTGAGGGATTTTGACCTACAGCATCTGTTAGGGATCCTTAGGGATCCCGATTTGAAGTTTAAGTTCTTGGGTAAGAGAACCCATAAGCCTCTGTGGCATGAAGAATCTTTTGAATGCTCGTGGAGGAGTCCTTTTTTCAGTGACAAACTTTTAACAAACATGAAAACCACGTTTATTTTAAGAAACCAGAGAGACAGATATTAAGACTGAAAGTAGTCTATAAATAAAGACTTGTAAGAATGAGTAAATTTTCCTCGAATCTCTTTACCTCTTTCGGTTTCAAAACAACTGGTTTCAATCCATGAGCTTCCAGGACCTGCAGAATGATTAAAAAGATAAAAATGGGTACCCAGTGAAACACCAACCTATTTCTGATTTCATAAGGCATCGATAAAATATCCTTAAGCCTAAAGATCTGTCTCATAAAAGGTTGGACCTACGTGAATTGATTCTGTTCATCTACTCTGGTCTATGCTCTAGTTCTGTTCTTTAGTCTGAAAGCAGACTTCTATTTCACATAATTTTTATACTTAAATCAGGGGCTTAGTGTCTACAGAAGTAACCCTGAATTTTGGTTTCTAGGTGCTTTGTATTCAGCTTCCACCTTAGTGACTCCCTTTTCTCCTGCTGCTTCCTGAGCACATATGAGCACTTATACTGTGCTGAGGCTGAGTTCCTGACTGTCCTCAATTCTCTGCCTCCAGAGCTTGACCTAAAAAGTCCTCCACCCTCATCCTACTTATCTAAACACTGACAGAAATAAAAGAAGTCAAACAGTCACTAGGCTAAAAACCCTCTAGGGAGGAAGGAAGACAGAGTCAATACCATTCACTTTGTCCACATCACAAGTTTACTGGAGTACTTGCTACACACCAGACTCTTCTGGGTGTTGGCCTGGGGCTGGCCTAGGAAAACTGAGACAGACTAGCTCAGGGGCAATTACAGAGAAAGAGGATGTTAAGTGCTCCAGGACGTAGGAAGTGCATGGGGTTTGCTGGAAAATGAGCACGTAAGATGCTAGGAGAGCACAAAGGAGGGGCTAAAGACATTTGGAGGGTAGGGAAAAGAACCAGAGGAGCAGAGGGGGAAGTTTCTCTGAGGACTTCTCAGAAGGAGGAGCAGGAGTGAGTGGGGAAGAGAAGAATGAGCATGTGCTGGTCCCTCTGTCCCTGACACAGCACATTCCAGCTGTAAGGAACCTCCAGTTCCTGTAGAACCCAAGGGGGGAGGGATTCGACCAACAAGACTCTTATAAACCACACTAAGTTTAGACTTAATTCTAAGGACAATGGGAAGCATTACAGGCTTTAGCCAGGACATGCTGGAATTTGCTGTGTGAAGGGGGCTGGGCAAACACTGTACACAGAGAAATAAAGATCAGGCCATAGGGAACAAAGGTGATCTGGAACCTATATCCCCCTAAGGATGATCTGTTCCCTTAACTTCTTCCTCCCCCTTGGTCCTCTGCCCTTTCACTGAGGGACCTCTCAGCAATTGACCTGAGATAACACTTCAAATAATTCTTTGGGCTGCTCTGATGGAATCTGGATATGGATGAGGAAAACATTAAAGCTTTATCAAAAACAAGCCCTTCTGCTTTGCCATTGGGGTAGGAGCTTGGGGGGAAATGGAACCAGCTCTCCAGAGGCCATATAGTAAGTGCTATGATCCACGGCTCTGCACCGTGAGACCAGCAACTCAATAAATTCACAACAGTGTGTGACCTGGAGAGGCACTGGAAGAGCCTCTGTGTTTTACAACTCCTGAAATTCCCAGCAGTGTGTGACCTTCTGGATAGGTACTAGGAGAGTTTTAGTTGCAGAATAAATTGCTGGGATTAACAACCGGCCACTGTACCTTTTCACCAAGGTGACCACCAAGTCCAGAAGCCTGGCGGTAAAGTATGGGAGCTAAGAGCCTTACCCAGTTTGACTTGTAAGCTTCGGTTTTCATCTATAAAACAGGGACGGCAGCGGCTCCCTCACGGGGCTGCCGCAAGGATTCGGTGCCATAAAGCAAGCATGTGCAGCCGGCACCCAGCCTGGGGAAACTTCTGCACACGCAAGTTGTTATTAAAGTCTTACGTATTTTGCATCAGCCCAGCCACTCTTTGGAGACCACATCTTCCCTTCTCCAATTAACCCAAGAGCAAGATGAGAGAGCGGGGCAAGGTCCCCACTGGCGCCAACGGTTCCTTTCTCTGGAACGTAGGGCAGGCAGGAGGCTGGGAGAGAAGGAGGCACCCGTTACTTCTGGCGACCCTCCTTTTGCCAGTGAGACCAACCTCCCCCAGCAGGAGCTAATATCATTCTATGGCACAAATACCTGGGAAAGACAACTTCTCAAGCACAGCTAATGCTTAAGGGACCTGGCTGAGCTGTTATAAAAGACAGAGGGGAATAAGGTGGGGGGGGGCAGGAAGGGGTACCCTCCCAGTAGCAAAAAGCCATCTCTTGTGAGCCCCTTGAAGTTTAGACTGTAAAGACCTGTACTGTGAAAACTAGAAAACACTGATGAAAGAAATTGAAGCCAACACAAAAAATTGGTATATTTTGTGCTCACGGAGTGGAAGAACTAATATTGTTAAAATGTCCATACTACTCAAAGCCATCTCCAGGTTCAGTGCAATCCTTATCGCAATACCAATGGCATGTTTCACAAAACTAAAACAAAGAATCCTAAAATGTGTATGGAACCACAAAAAATCCCAAATGGTCAAAGCAACCTTGAGAAAAAAGAACCAAGCTGAAGGTATCACAATCTCAGAATTCAAAATACACCACAAAGGTGCAGTGATCAAAACAGTATGATACTAACATAGAAACACCTCACACACAGATCAATAGAACAGAATAGACAGCCCAGAAATAAATCTATGCCTATATGGTCAATAAATCTATGACAAAGGAGGTAAGAATATACAACGGGGAAGACAGTCTTGCAATAAACGGGGCTGGGAAAAGTAGACCACTTTCTCACACCATACACAAAAATTACCTCAAAATGGACTAAGGACCTAAATGTGAGACCTGAAACCATAAAACTCCTAGAAGAAAACATAGGCAGTAATTACTGATATTGGCCTTAGCAACATTTTTCCAGATACGGATCCTCAGGCAACGGAAACAAAAGCAAAAATAAAGTATTGGCACTATACCAAAATAAAATGTTTTACACAATGAAGGAAATCATCAACAAAATGAAAAGACAACTTACTGAATGGGAGAAGATGTTTGCAAATGATATGTCCGATAAGGGGTCAATATCCAAAATATATAAAGAACTTATAGAACTCAACACCAGAAAAACCAAATAATCCAATTAAAAAATGGGTGGAGGACCTGAATAGACATTTTTTTAAAGAAGACGTACAGATGGCCAACAGACACATAAAAAGATGCTCAGCATCACTCATCATCAGGGAAATGCATATCAAAACCACAATGAGATATCACCTTACACCTGGCAGAATGGCTAAAATAAAAAGCTCAAGAAAAAACAAGTGTTGGTGAGGAAGTGGAGAAAAGGGAACCCTTGTGCACTGTCGGTGGGAATGCAAATTCGTGCAGCCACTGTGGAAAACAGTATGGAATCTCAAAAGATTAAAAATAGAGATAGCATATGATCCAGTAATTCCACTACTGGGTCCAAAGAAAATGAAAACACTAATTTGGAAAGATATATGCCACCCCTATGTTTACTGTAGCATTATTTACAAGAGCCTAGATATGAAAGCAACCCAAGCATCCACTGATAGATGAATGGATAAGGAATAGGTGGTGTCTATACACACACACACACACACACACACACACACTGAAATATTACTCAGCTATAACAAACAATGAGATCTTGCCATTTGTGACAACATTAATGGACCCAGTGGGTATTATACTAAATAAAATAAGTCAGACAGAGATAAATACCAGGTGATTTCATTTATATGAGGAATCTAAAACAAAACAAAACAAAAAGACAGGAACAGACTCATAGAGAATAAGTTGATGGTTGACAGAAGTGGGGGCACTGGGCAAAATGGGTGAAAGGGATTGGGAGGAGTCCAGGCTTCCATTTATGGAATGAATAAGTCATGAGGATGAAAGGTACATCATAGGAAATATTTTTCTTTAAAGTTTAGACTCTGTCCTAAGGACAATGGAAAGCATTACAGATTTTAGCCAGGACATACTCAGATTTGCTGTGTGAAGGTTGTTGGGGGAATGCTGTACATAGAAAAAATCCAGATCAGGCTGTATGGAAGAAAGGTGATTTGAAACCCATATCCCCATAAGGATTATCTATTCCTTTAACTTTTTACTCCTCCTTGGTCCTCTACCCCTTTGCATTTACTATGCATGTTCTAATCAGACCTAGAAATTTTTAGAAATTGTAATAATGTATCTTAAAGATCAGGAACTAGCTGTTGTTCATTATAGTCTTGTTCTTAAAACAAGTTAGAAATGATCTAAATATGGAATTAAGAGACTTCCATTTGGCCAAAGAGTGTGTGTAGCCATTAAAAGCTATTTGGGGGGGAAAAAAAAGCTTGGAGAATGTTTGGAAACATGTAAATATTTACATCAGAAAAATAATATAAAATGTTCTAGAAGGATAAGGCACACCAAAGTATTCACAGGGGTTCTCTGAGGAGGTAATTATAGGCAACATAGTCTCTTTTTCTTTTTTTGCCCAGATTCCTAGGCACCTAGCCTGTTACCTCACCACCACTTATAAACAGACATGTACTGTTTTGGAGGAAATTCTCAGTTACCAAAAAAAAGAAAGAAAAGTCCTCTATTTTTTAAAGTAAACTCAGACTCCTAATAGCAGTGCATTTTCCAACTGCTAAATAATGTCAGTAGGATAAAGCAGTGCCATCCATAGGCCAGCTTCCAGATCATAGTTCACCCTAGGAATTCTCAGAACTCCGGGCACCCAGAGGTGCCCTATATACCTTCACCCCAAAGAGTTTCCTGAGCCTGCACTGATCTGTACTGTTCATCCTTATCTGTGAGAAGGGATAGTGGCCTCCCAAGCATTTCAAATCTTATCTCCATGTTGGACTTTTTCTGTCCTGAGAAGTAAGCTCCGAAGAGCTGAACTGCATTGTATCCTGGCACAAGATGGCTTCCTGGTCCAGAAGCAAATCTTTGATCTCTTTACATTTCTGTTCTATCTTTGCAAGAAGTTAAATTTCGGTTATTTAAGTCTGGTTATCCCACCATCTGGGGAGCGTTAAGATTTCAGATTCCTAGGCACTAACCAGAACTACTGAAATGGTCTTTGGGATGGACATCCAGGAATCATTGTGTTTCCCAGATGATTTGATGCAACCTCTCTAACCACATCTGGGCATCACTGAATCAAAGGTTCTCTCCAGCTTTGAGCTCAGGGACAGACTTAAGGGGTTTGTTCCAGACTTAAAGATGCCAAATACTAAGTGAAGGGTGATGAAGAATGAGTTGAAGGTATACAGGAGTAAACATCTCTGTCCCCACCCTCACCCCCTTAGCTATCCTCCTCTTCTCCAAGCCCATTTCCATTCATCTCCATTATTTTATGTCGTCTTGTCTCTGCTAGTTCCTCACCATGCCATCAATGAACCAAGTCTACCTGTGGTACATGCCCAGCCTCAATGGAGGGTCAGCCTGGGGACCCATGGCATTACCATTAAATACTTCGATAACTTGCTTGAGGGTCTCCAGGGAAATGCCACTGTATCCTTTGGCTAAGACATTGATCCTTAAAGCCAAGAGCATCCGACATCTCTCAGGGATTAGTGGTTTCCCAACAGCTGCAAAACGGAATTGATGTTTTTCTCTCAGAAAATCAAAGTCTTTTCTACCTCCATCTCCCAAATCTTTCTCCAGTTCCGTCCAGTATCCTACCACCTTTCTCTTCTTGACTCAGATATTTGGACTGCTCTTCTTCTTGATTGCCCTGCTTCTTAAAGTCCCATCTTCTAGAAAAATGGGAAACCCAAGTTTTGCCTTTTCAGTTCTCTTTCCTAGAATGCTTCAGTGAGCCCCACCTTCCCCAAGACCCTTAGAATAGCACCCAGCCTGGATTCTTGACAGACTTTCCCATCTCACCTCATCCTGATGAACACATTCCCTAAGTTCACATTCACTTCACTTCGTTCCCTGAATGCACCATTATGTTGGCATGGCAATATACATGCTCCTGCCCCAATCCCATCCCTCTACTTGGCCCATTCCTTTTCTGAGATTCAGCTGAAAGGTGGTCTTGTTTGATTTCTGTTTTCCTTTCCCACCTGAGCCAGAACTGGTACTAGTCCTTAGAATGCACTAGCTATTTATGGCTGTTACAGGATACCTCACACTGTGCTGTACTTTATTCACCAAATCAAACAAGATCTAGAAGTCATTTAATGTTTGAAATGATTTACCTGAAGAATGTGAACGTACTAAGTTGACCTGGAGCTCTCTGGAAGAGAAAGGGAAAATCTCTCTTAGATACCTCACAGTGAAAGTTTCCCCTCAGCTGGGGAAATGAAGGGGAGAACAGGTGAATCTTTGGTGGGCAGAATAAGGCAGTGTGACGCAATGGAAGAAACCAGCAAGCCTGTGTTTTCAATGCCAACTCATATGCAAGTGAACAGGAGATTTATCCTCCTCATTTGGAAACTGGGGCAAATGTTAATTATTTCTCTTGTTGAAAGAAATCTCAAAGATGGGGGCAGGTGGCATGTGAATGTGTGCTGAGGAGGGGGGAATCAGACTTACTCTAGCTTACTGACAGGAATTACAGTTCTGGCAAATTTCCCAAAACCTGTAGTTATACCATAAACAACTAGAACAAAAAAACAAAACAAAAACAATAACAGACATGGTACCATTAGATGCAGGCCACTTTTTAAAAGTCAGTAAAAAGAACTGTATGACATAGAAAAGGATACCAGTTTTTTCTTTCACGATGCTATCTATGACTTCCCTGGATTTTTGCACCTTCTTTTCGGCAGCTGGGGTGAGCTAGGAAAACGGTCAAAGCTGAGCCCGTTGAAGACTCCCATATGCAGTGAAAAAGATCAGAGGACATCCTTCCCCACCCTCCCCCGTACCTTTATTTTGTAGCGTCCTTTCCCCAAGTTGACCAGATCCTCTGTGGTCAGAGTTTCCCCATCTAAGGCAATGTACTGCACAAAAGAAGGGGACCCCGGTGAGCTTGAGCAGCTTAGCTGCTCCACCAAGAGCGTAGGGAAGTCTCAAGCAGAACTGAATTTGGACACTCAAGAGATTTTATCCCTGCTCTGAAACATAAATGTGCTAGTGAAAAAGCTTGCTCAAGAGGAGGCGGAGTAAATAAAGAGAGCTAGAAATGAGCATAATGCCTTTTCCTAACTCCATAGAGCAGGATAAAGCCCTGTGCTAACTGATACATGTTCGCTCATAAATTCTGCTGGCCCTACCCCTCCTGAAACGAGGGGAACTTAATTTTCTTTACAAAAAGAGTGTTGGCTTGAAGCTTACCTTTTCAGGCTCCCGGTATTTGCTGTATCTGAAGCCAGGTAAAGGAAAACCCTGGGTAGTGTGAGAAAGCCCCAGCCCAGTCCCTGGCAGGAGTAGCCCCCAGAGCAAACCATCCGGCCTGCAGGAAAAGATACAGGTAAACTCCTTCTGGTTGTGATGGAATGAAGTCGGGAGACATGGCATCGCCCTCTATAACTGAAACGAGAATACCAGAGAGGCTCCTTTACGGATCGCAACGGAGAGCCACATTCGGCGTTGCTGGTAAGCCGAGAAAGGGCTCTTCCACTGCCTCTGGCTTCCATAGAAATGGCTGCTTTAAGACGACCTCAGGGGCTTTCGAGTGCTCTTAGCATCTTTGTGAAGGAGGAGGGCAAAAGGCAGAGACACAGGTGTCAGGTGTGGGCAGGGGTTTAAACGGAAGTTCAAGATCTAACCCCCTCCCTGACCCCCACCCCCACCCCCAGCTTTATTTTGTTTTCAATCCGAACCCCTTAGGTCTATTCCACTGGCCTCCAGTCCGCTGAGGTGCTTTTGAAGGGAAGAAGGATCTTCAGAATGATGCTGGAACGGCAAAGGGATTCAGACAGGCAGTCTTGGGTTCGAATGTAGCCTTTGCAGCTTACTAGGTGTACGATTCTAGGAAGTCAGCTCGTTTCTGGGTCCGTGGCCTTGCTGTAACGGGGGATGGGAAGCCTCCCCTCTCCCAGGTGCGTGCTCACTCACAGCCAGCCCCACCTTCCCCGGGATGGCCGGACTGCCGAGCCTCCTTCCTGGCCATGCGTGGACTCGGCCACTCACCCACTTCCACGAACTCGTTGTCCTCCAGGGCCACCTCCAGCGGGTCTTCGTGGTCCAGCAGGCCCAGGCCCTTGCACCGGCGCACGAGGAAGCGCACGTCGTCCACCGAGGCGAAGCCCCCGTTGTCTGGCTTATTCTTGATGTACCTCCTGACGGCCTCGCGGCCCAGCCAGCCGATGGTGAGCTGTGCGTCCCGGCAGGGCACGGCCAGCCATTCTCCGCGCACGTGCACCGTGTACCTGGGCATGGCTCCGCGTCCTGAGGGGGCTCCTACACTGGCTCTTTTGGTCGTGGCGGCCGCCAGGCGGGGAGAGTTTTATCTGGGAGTGACTACTGAGGTGTAGTCGGTAGGGATGAACTTCCAAAACACGCCCCCTCTCTTGCCTTTACTCATCCACACGTTGGACAAATATTTATTGAGGGCCGCACGGTGTCCCTTTGGGTTTTCACAGCTGAGCTTGGGGCAGGAGAGGGGGATGCAGGCAGGCCGCGTGGTGAAGCCCCACAGGCCTGGCTTCTCCTGTGCTGGGGGTCCCAGTGCTTGCTGTCACTTGCTGGGGCCTCTTCGGGTCCCCGATTTCTCTCTCCCCTGGCTTCTGTGTTCTCCTCCACTGAGGGCAGCTTATAAACACCATGTTCCTGTGTTTATCTGGAATTACTCAACTATAAAATGCACCTTCTGGTCCACTGTGACACCAGGGAGTGTGGTAATCTTCATTTTTTTGTTTATTCCACAAACATGTGTTGAGCAACTATTCCCTGCCACCACTAAGGTTTTCTAAAGCTGTCCCTCCACAAGGGAGACTGCAAAAGTCAGAGATCATTCTCACAAGGAAAGGTCACCATCTGGATGGATGAGCTGTTGTGGCTTGATGGTTAACAGCTCAGACAGCCATGGTTGGGACTCCAGCTCCACCATTCATTAGCTTTGAGCAAGTAAGTTATTAATTAGCCTCTGTTTTTTCTTCAAAAGGGAAGAGGCAAACTGCCTCACTGCTGTATTTGCAGTATCTACTTGGGATCCAATCCTGGCTCTGCCATTTACGAGCTATGTGACCTCTGGGCAAGTTATTTGACTTCTTGGGGTCTCAGTTTCTTCATCTCTAAGCTGGAGATAATGATAGCGCCTATTTCAAAGGGCTTTAGGGAGGATTAAGTGAGTTGGTAATATGTAAAGCACATGGTGCATTGGGAATGTTCCAGAAGTGTTTGTGATTACTATTATTTGCACTCGAATGCTCTGTATACCTATATTGCTTTCTAAATTTCTTTCATCTTGGTACATGGATATCCCTAATCCAGTTAAGCATCTTCAACACGGTTAACTGCTCCCTGCACCCAATTCATTACCAGTAGATTAAGGAACTCTGAAAAGCATGAAAAAGGAATCAAAGAAATGTGGGCACTGTTGTAATAAGCAACATTTTAGTAATAAGCCAGTTTCTAGAGATTTGATTATTGCAACAGAAAGATCTTGACATGTGTTTCCACTAAAACTGACTTGTGTTGGGAATAGAGACACAGTTGTTCACAGAAAACACGAACACTCAGAATCTCTCTTTCCCTGACAGCTTCTTGAGAAGCATACAAAGAAAGAACTACCCCTCCTTGAAACTTGCACTTCAGTCACCCACATCCTGACCGCACTCTGGAATTTGTCACCACCTGAATTTGATGCACATAAGAAATCGTAAATTCCACTACCCCACCTTCTGACTATGACTTTCCAGCCTTCCAGTTCTCCCCTTCCTTCAGTCCTCTTTGCCCTTGGACCTGACCTCTGGTTGGCTCCTCCTTCCCTCCATTTCCCACCAGCTTCCTCACTTTCTCTCCTAGGAAGCTGGTGTCCTAGTTGCTTACCTGGGCCACTCTTTCTTTACTACTTTGAAATCCTTTTATAACCCTAAACCTATGCCTGCATGGAGTAAAACTCAACCCCTGGGTCATCACAACCGACTGCTATCTGTGTTCACCCTGGTGGAAGCCTCTGCTACAGAAGGTTCTGTGATGGTGTCTTCATGGCACTGTCCTTCTACCTGCCCCTCCCCCTCAGCAAGTTTCCAAAACATTCACCCTGCTTTTCAACATCCACCTCCTCTAATTTTCAGAGGAGGACCTTACCTCTTACCTCTCTGAGAAAACCGAGGCCCTTAGATGTGAAGCACAACTTTCTACCCTCCTCCATTCACTCAGCCAACAAATACTTCTCAAACACTATGGAGATAGAGTTCTATCCCAAGCACGATGCTAGGTGCTGGGAATAAAATGAGATACATTCTCTGCCTTCATGGTGCTACTCTCTGGTGATGTTTGCACTTACCAAGAAGACTAATAAGAAGTCCAAGTATCCACTGTGCTGTGAGAAAACCCAAATTACCTGGGCACTCCAATTGCCAGTCTCCGCTGAGCCCAGCTTTTGCATAATCTCAGGAAAGACATCAGACATGTGAGGGAAGAAGCCTCCAGATGATACCACCTCCCAGCGACGTGAGTTTGAAGATTTCAAGTTCATGCCCTAGGCATTGTGGAGCAGAGACAGCTATTTTCACTGTCCAAATTGATAATCCAAAGATCCCATAAGTCTATGCCTTTACTTCTGTTACTCTTTATCCATCTGGAACACTCTTCCAACTTCCTTTGCTTAGCTAGGTATTTCTTATCTCGTAAGCCTCAGTGTAGGCCTTCTCTTCCCCAGTAAGCATTCCCTAAACCCTTTGGTTGGGTTAAGTAGCCCTTCCCCAGGTTGCTTTAGCATATTTCTTCTTTAGCCATATATAGAAATTATTTATCTTTGTTCACCCAGAAATTATATGTATATCCCAGCCTGGCACAAAGACATCCATCACACGCTTAGCAGCTGAAGTGTGTAAATGTGGCCTCCATTGAGCTGGCCCCAGGCAAACCTGTGATGTGTGTGTCTACCGCCCTCTACCTGCATCATAGCATCCTTCACCGCCACCCTTCCGGGGGGCCCTTGCCCCAGTTCACTTCCAGGCTCACTCATCAGTGATCACTGGAATGTGACATTAGCCCAGAGCGCGGGGAGAGCTTATGGGGCAGGGGAAGCCTTCAAAAGCATCATTTGAGTCTGTGGATTTGCTGAAGTTTAATCACGTAGAACCTGATTATATACCAGGGATGTGAGCTGAACTCTCGCCTGTGGTCTTCCTGCCGTGGAAGACAAGTGACAGCAGAGCCTTGAGAAACAGAATCATTTCGGTGTAGATGTGTCCAGGAGAGAACTGCTAAGGACAGTAAGCAAGCGAGCAGCTCGGGATTACGGGGATGGACAGGAATCTCTGTTTCTTTGATACCTGCCCCGCTTCTGGGGTGTTTGTGCCTATTTTAAGACTTCTAGCTAATGCTAGCACTCTTTTTGTGTATTTAATGACACCCTCACCCACATTTATACTCTAAGACACCATTCCTCTTGCTAAAGTTTATTTGGCCAGGGGTGGACTCAAGCTGAGTCAGAGTCTCACCTCTGGGAATCTGGAATTGAGACAGTCTTCCCATGTGATAAGAACTATTTACAACAACAGCAAAGCTGGAGAGAAGCAGAAATGAGAGACAAGAAAGAGTATTGCTCCCTTGACAGTTCCAGGTGTCAGTCCTCTCCCGTCTGTCCATAGGTTCTTACAACCTCCCCCTACCCTGTATCCTTCAAATAATCCTCCCTTTCCTTTTCTGACTTTTAATCATTTGGGTTTTGTCACTTACAATCAAAGAATCCTAACTAATATGACTGCGGTTCCCAGACTGTGTGCAGAGGTGCCCTTGGGTACTACAGTGTACTCATGGGATGCTTTGTTACTCTCTCATTTGGTTCAAGTCATTCTATTACTTGCAGTATGTATTATATGTGTGTATAATGGGTATTATCATTGTATTATTGCCCCTATGTGCTGCATGCTCTACGTGGGTGAAGGATGTTTGGTGACCATTAAGGAGATGAATCAGCTTAGACAGGAGAGTATCTGAGGGACTGATGGGAAGTACTGGGGTTTGGGGCAGTCATCTGACCCTGATGGACAGGAGGGCAGGACAAGTCCAGTGGAGCAGCAGGTGGATCTGGGGGTGGGGAGCAGAGTGCTTCCTGGAGAGTTTACACATTTTGGAAAAGTGTGTTTATACTATGCCCACTGTGTGGCTGGCTGAGCAAATCCAACTGAGTGCTCATGTTATTTAAAAAGCAGAGCTCTCATCATGTTGAATTTTTGGCATGCGGCAGATTCAAATTAAAGAACTTAAAAATACCAGGCAAATACTACGCTGACACTCTTGTGGTTGTGCTGGGGAAAATAAATATGTAACTAATGAAAAATTTTACACTTATAAATTAAAAGATTAAACTTTGTTAAAATGCACCTAACAAAGAACATGGCACCAGTGGGGGGGAAGGTAGCTCAGCTTTATTCATGAAAATCACTGACAAAACAATAAAAAGCCAGAACGAAAACAACATTTTTAGTTACAATATTAGCTGAACTTTTTTACATATCTTCCGTTTAAAAAAGCGAAATGTCTGAAATCAGCATTTGGTAGGTCCTTAATCCACTTTTAAGTCTTTCCCCACCAGCATGGCCGTCACTGGGTGCATACTTGCTTTGTGCCCCTGGTAGGTTCGCACGGCTTCATGATGGGATTTGTCAAAGGCAGCAAGGTCCCTGGTGAGGGAACAAAGATGGATAATGACTGATTTGGGTAAGTAATATTTTATTTGGCAAGTATAATTTTATCATACTTGTGAAGTAAGTGAAAAGATTAATCACGACTATCTGTGTCATGGTTCTATAGTTTTCAGAATTCCTGCCAAATCCATAGTCAAAATAACTTCACCAAGATACTCTTAAATTCTGTCTTGCAGCCAAGATACAACTTGTTTCCCCTCTACTAAGCACTGCTTTAGTATATACATCAAGCAACTTAGCCTTCCAACTCATTGCAGCATTTGAATCAAAAAGGTTTGCCTTTACCGGCTCATTTCTTACCTGTAAATAACTTCAGGTTCTTTTGTGTCCCTGCCTACTCCCCAGTTATCTCCTACTTGCTTTTAAAGATCTTTCTGGGTACATAAGATTGTTTTCTATTTATTTCCTTCTCACCAGTGTCTAAACCGATTTGGCCCATAGTAGGTAATCCATATATGATGCTTCTAAAAAAGCTAATGAAATTACTTCAAATTTTAAATATTTAGAAGTGTTCATTCCTATTCCCAAATTATACCTATACTCTTTAACAAATTTAAAAATATTATTTTTAGATGGTGTTTTACAAAGTATTTTAGCAACAGGAAAAACATCTAAGATTGTTCTTCCCCATTCCTTTTTTTTTTTTTTAAGAGGGGGGAGGAGCAGAGGGAGAAGGAGAGAATCCTAAGCTGATTCCATGCTGAGGGCCCAGCCGGCTGTGGGGCTCGAGCTACCGACCCTGAGATCATGACCTGAGCCGAAATTAAGAGTCAGAAGCTTAGCCCACTGAGCCACCCCATGGGGGCGTTCCCCCAACTCCTGATATAAATTCAAAGCACAGTCTGAGCTGCTTCTTACTTGAATAGGGGCCGTGTAAACTTCATTCGTCCTTGCTCAGTCGCCATTTTTAGAGCCAAAGGAATTGCTTCCTCCCATTTCGATTGAATGCAGAGCCGTAACCATCTGGAAAGTGGATTTTTAGGGGACATGGGGTAGGAAATGAGGAGGACGGGGCAGGATATACAGGCATATCTGAAGATTACTTTTGTAATGATGAATAATCCCATTATAGGTATGCTGTACACCACTGTATGTCTTTATTCTGAGAATCTCAAGTCCTTGTATATATATACAATTCAGTAACTAGAGAAGTGAAGAGGAGTTTGTTCTTGAAAAAGACCATATGTCTTAAAAGGTTTAGATTATGTCTCACACTACGAATCAGAATTAAGAAAGATTAACCACATAACAGAATTAGAGATTTCCAACTATTCCCATATCAGAGTCCACTTGGCTAGTTGCAGAAGAATGCCTATTTACCACGGGATTCCTAATTCTTTTTTTTTTTTTTTTTTGGTAAGGTAAGAGAAGCTTAGAACAAATTCTAATAAAAAGATTAATACTATCATCTTACAGTATTGCAACTATTCCTCAAAGACCACTATAATTTTTTACTCAAGTGCAGTAAATTTCACAAGGATTTCTTAAAACTCCTGTATGTCTCAGACTCTGCTTTCCCTTTCTCTACCTTTTAAACTAGTTTCTACTTTCTTCCACAGAGACAAGTTAAAATGATGTACCTGAATCGTATTTCAGAATTGTTAATGGCATTCAAGTTGTACACCTCTTGCATTCGCTTTATGTGCCCCAATGGAAGAGGTGC